GCATTGTTATCAATATATTTCTTTTGTAATTGAAATATCCAGATAACTTTCTGTCCACAAAATGTATAGCTGGTCAATTAATTTAAATAAACAAATACGACGACGCCAAAATGGTGATACATTTATAGAAAATATGCAATTTACAAAAATAAAATGATACGATCGATAATTAAAAGAGTAATTCTGCTAAACATTATATTTATGTATCTATAGTCTTACAATAATATTTCAGATACATGTATATCCACAGTGGTTATTTTATTCATGTAACAAGTTTGTTATGATCAATTAGTACCTGCATGTAATTTTTTCAGAGTGATCAACACCTTTTATTTATCTGTGCTAGATAATTAAGAAAATCTTAGATATCTTAAAAACAAATGAAGAATGAAAACGCATTTTTTCGTCTGCAGGGGAAATATCTAAACACAGAAAATAGATTAAGGTTATTAAACAAATACGTTATAGACTTTAGTACATAAGCATGATAAGCTGATTAAAAAAAAAATCATGAAACAGACCAGGCAACACACATAAATGTATGCAACAGTAGTTTCTGATCAATCTCATGTAATGGTCAACGAATTTGACCTTAATCCTTCGTAATGAGTTTGACTTATGAGGGGGATACATCATATGCAATTACTAAAATGTAATGAAATATGATCAAACATTATCATTTCATCAAATAGTTAAGGATGTACTTAGGTCAGGTTTAGGAATTTTGTCAGATTTTCGGACTCCTTGATTTTTTTCCTACGCTACAGGGTAAAATATTTAACCCATTATACCATTTTTCTTTTCATATAAGACTTCAATAGCTCATACATTTTTGTAAAAGGTCATTTACCAAAAATTAAGCAGATTCTAGATTTCTTTTCTTTCGATTTGAGACCCAAATAATACCAATACAAATACAGGATAAAAGTCCGAATCAGCCTTTTCCCGCCATTTAAAAAAATTAAATATCTCAAAAAGGAACTCCATAACCTATTAATATTTATAGCTTATTTTGTTCCTTAATTAATGCTATTCTGACTAATAGTATCAATTTTAAATTCTAGATTTTTAAAATTTCACCTACGTTCATTCTTAAACATAAATCACGATCAAAGTGGAACTTATAACGTTCATGATCAATAATCAATAAGACGATATAATAGCTGACATGCAGATTTTAACTGTGCGGTTAAACATGTTTCGACTTCGTTATTTATAAAATTAAGCGTTCAACGTTTATGATTTCTGCTTTCGATCATGGAAACCATCAGTACCTGCATTCATATATTTAAACGTTTCGATGAAAGGCTCTGAACTACCTCTTTATGTACTTAGAGATATCGCCTGAGCAAGTTTTGACTGTTTTTTCTAAAGGAATAAAATAAAAGAAAAACGATTCCATGAATGGTGGGGGAAGTTGTCAAGTGCAGAGAGAAAAAGGAAAAATACAAATTGGTTGAGATTTATGATAATACCTAAAATACTACCTGAAACATGAAGTTAACCTGCTTCTGAAAGAAGAAGCCGATCTTCATGGTTATTACCCCTGAATTATAGTAATATGCCCTACTAATGCCAATGATGGATGAGGTATCAGGTAAAATTTTGCCCACATGAATCTGTAATATAAAATATTATTCATGTAATTTAATAATTCGATGAGTCTACAATTAAACACCAGTTTCGGGGGGACACTTCCAGTTTACCAAGTGGTAAGGATGAGCCGCTGTAATACGTTACTGTTTAAAGCTTCAGAAAATATGAAAAAGGTATAGAATTTAGATGAAAATATATGAAAAGGTTGCAATAATTCAGCAGCACCCAACAACTTTTAAGTACCAATAAGTATAACCAATAAGTATAATGAGATGTCAAGTTTTGTTTTAATAAAATGTTTATGAACAATATAACCTGCTTTTAACTGGTCCAGTTACATTATCAAGTAAAATTGTTATATTGAAGGAATGATTTTCATTAATTCAAAAACAGATTTTGCTATATAAAGTTTATGTTTATCCATTATTATTTTCAAAATGATAGGCAAAAATGAAAAAAAGTAAAATTGGTAATGGCTATTACTCCTACAAGAAGTCTTCTGACAGTTTTAATGTAAATAGACAGAAGGTAGATTTCAACATTCGGTCCTGTCAGATTTTCTTTAATCTATAAAAGTTTTCAAAATAATAGACAAATCTTGTATTTCACCCCTGTTATATTTAATAGTCATGTCGGCCATGTTGGATCACAAACGGGTCATATGACACATTTTATAAACTAGGTAATGACCCCCGATAATGATTGTGGCCAAAAACAGACGACGACAACTGACAACAAGTAATGGCAAAAGTTCACACTAGCCCTAACAAAACTACCATCGCAATTGTTTAAATGTACATCAAAAACTTTTTTCGTCGGCTGAATTTGTAAATAAATAATAATTGGACATTCCGATTTTATTTTCCGTCGACAAAAGCAAATGATAAGGATCTTATATAACCGTTGCTATTGAAAATATTTACTTGGTTCAGTCGAAATGATCATAAAGAAAGATTTGGGCAACATCGTTTGCGTTTAACGCACACAATCTTGTTGCATTCAACATGTTCAGTGTATGATTTTCATTTGGCAAAACTGCCAGGTGAGCAAAACAGGTTCCTTGGAGCCTCATGTTTGTTTTTGTTTATGTTAGAAGACATAACACTATATTTGTATTTGTTAATAACTACATAATAATATGACAACAGTTCTAATTCCCCATTTAACTTACAGAACTGTAGTTTCATAAATAAAAACAACAGTAGTATACCGCTGTTCAACTTGATCAATAGTCATAATTCGATTACCGTTAAGCAAAAACAAATCCGGAAAACAAACTAAAACCGAGGGAAACACATCAACTATAAGAGGAAAACAACGGAACAACAGAAACACTAAACTACTAAAAAAGCAAACGCCAACATACATAGAAACGGACTTTCTGATAACAACTGCCATATTTCTGACTTGGTGCAGGACATTTTAAGAAAAACTGGTGGGTTGAACCTGATTTTATGGCTAGCCAAACCTCCCGCTTATATGGCAATGTTAAAATACCGCTAAAATGACAACACAAGGTGACAGGCACACAGTACAAACAAAAGCAAGAACACTCAGCACAGAGAAATACATAAATAAATAATAAAATAGTACATTACAACATCATGAACATGTAAACCGCAGAATAACAACGGACACCTCCCATGAATTTACGACAGCATAACAGAACACCATAAACGAAATATAAATTGCGCGTCACATAAAAATATTAAATAAATTACAGTGCACTCCATGTTCAACCTCTGGTTTTGGTCAAATTTATATTTTACTGCAAGATGCTGAAATTACCATTATTGTGATTATTACTAGCACGCAGATGATTCAACCGAGTTGATGTTTGCAGTCTTCCTCAATTAAGATAATTGTAACCCAATAGATATTACTATATAATCTCTAGTCACGTAATTCAAATGCAGATACCAGCGGTTTGCATCACATTTCAGAATACCATTATGGGCAAAATTAGTCAAGAGTATTGTTTTATCTTGAATAAAACGAGAATTTCAGCATACGACCTGATCAATATAATATATTTAAAGAGAAAACTCATTTAACCTGGAACACAAAAGGCATCAAGAGAGCTATTATTATTTCAATTGCTAAGTTAAACCAAGCACTAGATAAACATTCCGCATGGTAAGAAACAATAAATATCATTTATAACTTAACGAGATGAATATTTGAACACACTGTCTCCAATTCATATGTTGTTAAGTTTGCAAAATCTCTAAATCTGTTCAGTTTTAGGTTACGTCTATTATCACGGGATATTTGACTTGATTTAATTTTTTATTTCTCTTTTGTACTTTTTCCCTTCGAAATCAGAACAAATCACATGAAGAGAAATCAATGATTTTGTTTCATACGTTTACGTACATTATAAATTTTGTTATTGAAATGTATTCTTTTTTTAACTTTATGCGAAATTTTAAAACCTGGAGTTTGGCAAAGCCCTATACAATTCATCGAAGGTATTAAACTTTTGTCATCATTTTAATATTCCAATATCTTTAATGCAATTTATTTCAAAAGGATCAGCAATTATACATGCATGCACTTTAAGCATTGACCCCCACTTTTCTATTTTTTGGTTGATTTTGTAAGAAGACAAAATTCTGATGTATTTGCATATACTTTTTTTTGTAAGCATATAAAGCTTAGTTTTTCCCTAAACAGAAAAAAATGGATTCAAGCGTCACTGATGAGTTTGAAGACAACACGCGCGTCTGGCATACACACATTTTAAGATTGGTATATCTGATGAGTTTATTTAAACGTCTTGCCACTTTTATTCCCAAAATGACTGTAGTTTAGTGCTGTGCCTCTGCACTACTTAACACGTTCAAACTTCAATTAGTATTAGTTTGATTGAATAGTACAAAGAATAAAAGAAAATAATCATTTATGATTCTGTCCATGAAATATTGCCACAAATGAAGTAAGTAGATCCGACGACTTTTCCCTTACTTAAAGTCTCCTTAGTTGACCCCGAGTTAGCCTGACGAAGATTATTCTGCGACTAGAGGTATACACACTGACATCGGATATCTGCCCAGGAACTTAGCACGTTGTATCGGTTATGGTCAAAATACAAGACAATCGTAGGTACTAACTCTTGAACAGTGTGTTTGATATTTCACTCGGTTTTTTTATTTGTTTCGTCTGAATCGATTAATGACATTTGAACATTGATAACATATAGGCGCTTCAGTAGGTATCATGGTTTATATATATATTTGTGGATATAAATTTTATAAATCATAATGTAACTTTGGTGTATACAGATTGTGAAGATAACATGTGCGTCAAAATACTTATAATAATTGTTGCTACAACGAGATATATCCGTTCTTGCATCCTATTACTTCTTGATGTCAAGTATTAATGTAAATTTGGTTTAATTTCTTTTTTGTGCAACAATTAAACTGTAATGTAAATGTAAAGTGACGCCTTATTGAGTGGATATATAATTATTTAGTAACACTAGATGTCCAGCTGGATATTGCTAAACGGTATTGTTCAGTTATTATTTAATCTTTGTTTTTATTTAAATATATATGTATGGATTTTTTTAATAATATTCTAAAAGGTACGTTAATCTGTTTGATTTTGTTTACTTTATCATAAATTCTATTAATACAATTGTCAATAATTCCTCAATTTCTTTTCGCATAGATATGGCTACAACAATGTTGCTCAGTTTTATGATGATTTTTCTGTTCCATGGAATTCGTTGTATGGAAACAGATGAACGTCTTTCGACTCTGGAAGTAAATGAACAAAGCTTAACCTCAAGTATTGTCACAATACAACATAAGTTGCTATCTTGGAACCAACAACATCAGTGTGTAAAACCAGGTGAGCAGGTCCGATCTTGAGATCAGCGAGGAGTATCGTTTTTATTAGGAAGAATAAGTTTTAAATGTACAGCGAATATAACGGAAAATTTAAAGTAATAAAAACTTTTTTAAAGAATGTAAGAATGTATTTAAAAAAGAACAAAAATATGACGATAGAAGAAAAAACCATAAAACTTGCCAATAGAAACTATAAGCAAACTAATTTAAATGGTATTATTTTGTTTTGTTACTATATACCTTTTGTTTTGGTTCTACATTTTTAAAATGACAATTAGTTTAAAAAACTGATGAATCGATCGTTACTGTTGAGTCTTTTCTATTGACATTAATCTTACGTCTTTCTTTTTAATAATGTTCTCTGAAATTTGGGCAATCCGAAAATTTAGCCACAATCATCCGTTGAGTCTCCAATTTCAGAATAAACCTGATGATCCCGCTAACCAGCATGGCCGTAATGGCTAAAAATAGTACATGGACGTAAAATGCTCATGCTTGAAAATGTTTCAGTGAAAATCAGGCGACCAAAAAAGTACAAAATGTCAACATTTACCTACTGTCTATTTAAACAGTTAGGATTCCGACATTTTAGGAAAAATGACAATGTCTATCTATTTTTGCAGTTTTGAAAACTATTATAAAAAGACTGAAACATTTAAGTGCAGAATTGATCAGCAACTCTCGATGTTGAAATAAGGCAACATGATATAGATCGTTAATTACATCCATTTATGAGTTGTTGGTACTACATTACTAATAGTAATAAGTAGTTATCCCTTTTGAGTTTTTCACATTTGAATTGATGGTGATAAATCATTGCTTACACATGTACCTCATTTATTGATTCATCGTTAAACTTTTTCAACTGTGCGTGATCAATATTACCAAAGGGAACTGATTCCTAAACTCAAATGTAGCTGTTAAACATGTGTTAATTATATTTTAGTATCATGCCTTGACATCTATTTTGAAGACCGTCGAAATCCAAGCGGAGAGTATGTAATTTATCAACGGGAATATGCTGTAAAAGTGTACTGTTCATTCGAGGGAGATTATGGATTCACCTTTATTTCAAGAAAGTCTGCAGATGCAGTTATTGACGTAAATGCATTATACAGCACTAATGAATTTGCAAAATTACGAGTTCTAAAGCGAACTGGAGAGCAAAGGGAGGTACTTGTAGAAAATTTGTTATCATTTCAAAACTTGTCCAAACTTTTGTTTGCAATGAATAGTCATGATAAATATAAAGGACCGTCTCAAGAGAATTCTGGACTTCATCCATATCTTTTTCTTGGCTTCCTTCCAATCAACCTGGCCGAAAATCGAAACTCCCAAGGATATCGCGCTAAAGACATGGACTTCACGTTTGTAAATTGCGATGGAAACCCTAACAGCTATATCTCATTTTTCTTCAACCCAAAACGTGCATCCCCAGGTTCTGTTGGTTCAGCAAATGATTTCATGACACATTGGATTACATCTTCTATAGCAATTGATTATCCTAAATATATGGACAGCAGTTTTTATATGGATTGGGAGATGCATATGGGTGGCTGTGGTGGATTTCTGACGTCAAGAGTATTAAACATCAAAGCAGCATTAGGGTTACCGTTTGGTAAGTTTAAAAATATTTCTAGTTTAACGTCAATAAAAATGCTGAAAGGGTTGGCATATCAGTCTGATTTCCAGTTTCATTTTAAATATCCTGTTATGTTAATGCAAACACGTAACACAAAAAATGTATAATCTTCGAAGAACGCTTCAAAGTGATTACAAGCAGTCTGTCGTAATGAAGATGATGCAAACTTTAAATTGTCATAGAATATTACTATCGTAGCAACCATAAAACAAAATTACATTAAAGATTTTTAAACACAGTTCATCGGACGCATGAAATTTATAACGAATTGTTTTCATTTGTGTATCTTCATCTCATGTCTCTAAAGAGATGTGATTTAGTCTATATCACATATAGTCTGTAGCTATGTTTGATCTCGTTAGTCAGATAAACAGCAATAATAACTAGCTATAGATTTCTAATTTCAAGAAATCAAATTCATATGTCAGCTACATGTAACCAAAATTGTTATTGAAAGTAAGATTTTGACAAGACAATTTTAATTTAAAACGTAGCAAGTATTCACTTTGTCTTAGTTATCCAATATAAAAAAAGTGATGGCCAGCAAGAATGAGCATAACCAGTAACATATAGTAATCATGTATAGGCTCCGGAATAACAAAATGAGGATTCAGTCAAAGGCAAAAACCAATAGGCGTGACTGATGCTAGCATCATTGAACTAAAAAGGCAATGTTGCAAACGGCAACTGACGACAACCACTTGAATTTAGGCTACCATCATATACGCAATAACGTTTTCGAGCACAGTAAAACTACTTGCGTGTAAACTAAACCTGTTTAAATCTGTTTTGATAATATATGAGGTGAACTATAAATTCTTTATATGACTTTCATGTTTTTATCGGTTTTTTCAAAATTTGTTTTAAATTTGCGTATGACAAGATTTACTAGTAAATATATAAATTGTAAGTTTGATTTTTATTGTATTTTGATTACATTTGTTGTTTTTTATCTGTTTCAGCTATTCCCAAGGTATAGGAAGATGGCTGGGAAGACGTTCTATATATGAAAGTACAGTTTGACTAGGGCATTGTAAATATATAATTGTCGGAATTTTTTGAAACCTTTTTTCCAATAAGAAGGACGTTTTTCGCCCATATATATTGTGCAAATTTATTAACTGTGACAATGGTATCAATAAACCTGTCAGTTTAAGTATAGCTGTTATGACTTATAAATTACAAGTTACAGTATATATAAAATTTAGAAGATATGATGTGATTGTCATTGAGGCAACTCTCCACCAGAGACCAAATGACATACAAGTTAACAACTATAGGTCATCGTACGGCTTTCAACAAAGAGTAAAATCAATACTGCATTGTCCGCTATAAAAGGCCCCGAAATGACAAATGTAAAACAATTTAAACAAGAAAACTAACGGCCCGATTGATGTACGAGGCAATGAACGAAAAACATTGCAGCAAACGACAACCACTGAATTACAGGCTCCTGACTTAGGTCAGGCATATACAGAATGTGGCGGGGTTTAACTAATTTGCTGGCGCCAATCCCATCCTCCTATCCTGGGATAGGGGTGTTTACAGTAAAATATACAAACAAACTATAAAAATCAGATCGAACGTGGCAGGGAATTAATGTATACCCCCACAACATTACAAAACAAAAAGTACAGATCTGAGAGTACTTACAGTAACTGAAAGATAGTTCAAAGCTAAGAACAACTGATAAAAAAGCATGTTTCCAAGACTAAAATATCAATCAGTTCACATCCAACATCCACAGATTTAGTGTAAACATGTCAGTCAGAGGAAAACATGACTTTGTCCAATGTCAAGATACAGGTATCGACAGATTGTAGAACCGTGAATGTGCTTAGCTATATAACAATTCTAATTAGTTCGGTTTTAATTTACGGAGAACACAATCAATATTTATACTAATAAAAACAAAGTTCAAAGATCTACTTACAGTGTTGAATTGGTAACCTTTAAAAAATAAGTTTATCTTAAGGATCGATAAGTTTACCCGGGTCGTATCTAAATTTCTGGGCTCGGTAAACAACATCTCCGTAAAAATTATGATGTGCTCACCAGTTTGTTTAATTTTTCTTATTTACAGCTAATCTTCCAAACCAAATCTTTGTATTTATGGAAGAATTTAGTAAAGTTTGTAAATAATTTGTGGCAACAAAATCCTTGATTTAATAACTTACCAGTAATACATAGATTACGTTCATTGAAATCCTAAACATCACTACAGACACGAGCATAGCGAATGAGTTTATGATATATAAACACCGTAAGATGGTGCCAAAGGAACGTCATTGTTCAAAAAAGGAAAATTTACAATAGGAAACGTAAAATCGTCCCTTTTGTCGTAAACTTTGTGTAGAGTTTCCAGTGTAAAACTGAAATATTTAAATCTAGAAACGCACAGTTATTACTGTTTATATTTGGTTTTTTTAAGTTAAGTACCTTTAGGTAAATTTCGGCAATATATTTATATTAATTCTTGATTAGTTAACCAAAAAAATATCATCAATATAACGGTAATTGTTGTTTAATTTTTCAACTAAATGCAATTTAGACGAGTCTTTACTGAGTTTGCCCATAAACTGTGATTCAAAACAGTACAATAACAAGTATGGTTTTAAACGGGCGCAATTATTGCCCGTAGTAATACCATCAACCTGTCGATAAACTTTATTGCCGAAACGTACATAAATGTTGTCAAGGCGAAAATAAACAGATTCAATCATCCAATCACACCCCCAGTAAATATATCTAGCATATTTACCTTTCTCATTAGAGAAGAAGACTTTAAATGAGTTGCATCAAATACATTTGCAATCAGATTTTTCAAATGACCATTTAATAAAATAGGAAAACTTAATAAAATTGTGTGAAAGTGTAGTTTAAGGATTTGAAAAGTCAAAACTGTCAACAAAATCAGAATGACCATCAAAAAGTAAAATCACAAAAATACTGAACTCCGAGGAAAATTAAAAAAAAAATCCCTAATCAAATGGCAAAATCAAAAGCTCAAACACATCATACGAATGGATAACAACTGTCATATTCCTGACTTGGTACAGGCATTTTCTTATGTAGAAAATAGTGGATTGAACCTGGTTTTATAGCTAGCTAAACCTCTTACTTGTATGACAGTCGCATCAAATTCCATTATATTGACAACGATGCGTGAACAAAACAAACAGACACAATAGGTACAAATGTCAAAAATAGGGGTACAGCAGTCAACATTGTGTTATCATCTTAATCACTATAAAAACAAACAAATGTAACGAAGAAGCAGAAAAAGGCATACATCAAATTTAACATCCTCATTTTGCCTTTTTATTATACGATTTTATTTATCTATGTAAAATCCACCCATAAAGGATGGAAGGTTTTAAGTACAGGCTTAAAATCGCGCGTTTGAAATTCGCACAGGTAGACATAAAATAATTTTGTCATTCAAAGTATGACGGGATACATAAGTACAGAGTCACGTCAAATGTTTATCACAAAAAAACAGACTTAACAGTAAAAGTTATATTAATAAAGACAAATAAAAGAATACTATAACACGTTATTAAGATGACAAACAACGTCAGTACGCAGAATTATACTTCAAGCCCATCGTGTATTATTTGTGAAGTTGATACGGAACATTTATCAAAAAGGTCTTGGTACCTTCCGATGAACTTTTTTTAGAAAAAGGACGAGACGTTCTTTGACATACCCCTGGTTCATCAAATTTCTGCTCAGACACTGGTGACATTATACAAAATCTGAGTAGGAGCTGCAAGCTCTTGAATACCGAATAAGTTGGGAAATGTATATCCCATATGCAGGTGAAGTTGGTATATTGCTACTAAGGTGGGGGAAATTGATAATTTCAAAATTAAAATCGTCTCGTTTGTCATAGATTCTGGTACTGAGATGACTGTGTATGTCAAATGCGAGGTATAAGTCTAAAAATGAGGCGGAGGAAGCCGTGTCTGTTGTTCCTTTAATTTCTAGTTCTGGTGGATATATTAATGGAACCCAATCAGAAAAGTTCGGATTGTTAATGGAAAGAACATCATCAATATATCTGAAAGTGAAATTAAGTAACCTGGCTTCTTTGGGTCTTCTTGTTTTTGACAAGTGTCTGAAGGAACTCCGATTCATATGAAAATAAGAAGAGGTCGGCAAGGAGAGGCGCACAGTTTGTTGTCATAGGAATGCTGACAATTTGGTGAAAAAGTCTACTTCCAAATTCAGCAAATGTGTTGTCAATAAGAAACTCCAGCATACTGATCACTTGTTCCTCTGTGTAGCATGTTTTACCCTTTTGTTCACTATTAACAAAATATGCCTTATTGTATCCCAAAGTAATAAATTTATAGGGTATGCTACCATTTTTATGTTGAAAAGCATTGAGGATTATTTCCTTTAGACGGTTTTTCAATTTCACATGGGGAATGGTGGTACATGTATACAAGGTTGAAAAATCAAAAGTTTTGATAGAACTAATTTCAGAAAAAGACCGAGATTTAAAATTATCCAGAAGTTCTTTAGAGTTTTTAATTAGATATAAGAATCCACATATGGTTAATACCACTACGCGAGTAAACAGTTTCACAGTACTTCTGAAGACCCTCTTTTAATGCGGACAGAATTTTAGTCAATCTAATGGACAATTCTTTAGTGGAACATGCAGATGAGCCGGCAATGTACCGTTGTTTGTACGGAATTGTGTGAAGTTTAGGTATCCAATACAAACAAGGTAAGTCCTCCGATTTGCTGTTCAATGCAATGTTCATTGAAGCCATGCAGGACTTATGATTCACCAAAATCTCATCCTTGTCAAATGATATGTTTTTGTGTGGGATTACATGAGTGCTCATTTATTCCTAATTCTTTTACAAGACACTCATAGTAATACGATTTACATATAGAGACAATAGTATTTGAAGCTTTGTCCGCAGGAACAACAACATACTTATCATGAAGAGATGATAGACATTTCACAGCCTCTTTGTCTCTGAAAACGGACTTTGGTCGATCATTCACACAGTTTTTCAACTTATGAATGCGACGTTTTATCAGAGACCTGATTGTTATGACCCATTCTGACAAAGTGTCCAGTTGAACTTCTCGATTATCCCATGCTCTGGCGTAGTCCTCAATGGAATCCATTATTATTTTGAAGTTATGGTTCCAATTGATGTGTTGGGGTTCTCTAAACTTAGGACCATGATAAATAACCTTTCGGAGATATTCATGTTGAATTATGTTTAGATCCCCAGTAATAACATGGCCAAAGGGGCTGTAATTGTAAGGCGAGTGGGAACAGTCACATGCCAAAGGTTTTTTTATGTATTGTTCTAAATCAAGGTCCTGTAATGCTTGTTTATAGTCAAGTATTTTGGGTGCAATGGTTTTGGTGTAACTGTAGGATACAATAGGAACAGACTGATTTTGAAAATAAATAGGAATTTTAGATGTTACCTCCTTGTGATGTAGAACGTTGCTAATGTTGATTGCATCAATTCCTCTATCGGTAAAGTAAACAGGAAGGAATTTCCTCTTTTCCTCATGTAAAGGTTCCGATCTTACTGGTTTAAATAGACGGAAAAGAGCTACAAGTTATACTGACAAGTCTTTATATTGGAGAAAATGTATTTATGCATCCTTTGTCAAGTGCATAATCTCTCAAACATTTTAGAAAATTAACAGGCAGTGAAAAAAGAATAGTTTTTATGTAATGTAACCCTAGCGGATGATGAAGATGAGAAAGAATGTCATCAAAGCTCCCAGAGGGTGATTTAGATTTGGAAGTCTTTTTTACATTAGGCCGATGGTAATGTTTTTGCCCATGACTACGTTGGTTTCGTAAGGTAGTATTAAATAAATTCATTACATTAACATCACTGCAGGCTGGACTTGACAAATTTCCTACTCCTTTGACATTGTCATTGCAGTACCTTGTTCCCTTATCCAGAATTTTTCTCTTTCTTTTCGGAAAGGAGTACTAAGTACAGGGCTATTTGTGTGGTGATAAATTTTCTCGATGATGCATACTTTCATAGATAAAGAAGGATCATGGTCCGGTTGATTAAAATGGTTATAAAGAACCCTGAATTGCGGATCTTTATTATCAGACCGGTGTTGATTCATCCTTTTACGCAAAGTTTGTCGAGTTTCAC